ACTAGTGAGCCTCTTATCACTTCATTCTACCTAGTTTCAGGTGCTCGGCAAAATGAATGGGGAAATCCTATTTGGGAAGAAAACTCCACCTAGGGTTAGGGTTAGGGTTAGGGTAAGGCTTCCTTGAAGTCAGAGCCAAAATTTAATATCATGGCAAGATTCATGAAGGCTCTTTATAGATAGTGAGCTTCTTATCATTTTGTTCTACCTAGTTTTAAGTTCTGGGCAGAATGAATGGGAAAACCTTTATTTCAGAGTTATAACTCCACCTAGGGCTAGGGCTAGGGCTAGGGCTAGGGTTAGGCTTCCCTGAAGTGAGGGACAAAATGGGTTAGGGTTAGGGTTAGGGTTACCCTGGGCACTCCAGATTCTCCAGCAAACACTTCCTACATGTGGCTCCCCAGCCTGGCCCAGCAACAAGGTGGAAATAAGAACGCCAGCCAATGGGGATAGCTAGAAGCAGTTTCGCCCAATGGGAAAGCGCTGGGGGTTGGCTCAGGGAGCCATGTATAGGAAGCATTTACCGGAGAAGCTGGAGCCCCTGGGATAGCATGATGTCCATGGGTCTGAAAAGGAGACAGCAAAGGCAGCATTGTGCTTCTAGTTCGGCCACAGTGGCTGGGCGGAAAAGGTCGGTGCAGGGAACTGGGAGAGAAGGCAGCTGGGCGAACAAATGCTTGTTGGGGCTTGCTGGAGTTTCCCAGGCACAGTGGCTTGCTGGGGCTTGCTGCGGCTTCCTGGGCACTGAGGCTTGGCACCACACTTCCCAGGGCTTCCCAAGTGCTGCAGCTTATTGGGGCTTCTGGGTGCTGTGGCTTGGTGCCACGCTGCTGGGGCAGGCTGGGGCAGCTGAGGCTTCCAGGAGCGGCCGTGGCTTCACATTGTACTGCAGCTTAGGGGCTTCTTGCAGCCCCAAAGCCGCAGCACACAAGAAGCCCCAGAGCCCCGTGGGGGGCAGGATAGGTGGGGGGGAGTTGGAGGCAGTCCTTTACCTTACTGAGGCTCAGGGCTAGGAGGAATAAAGCCTGGAATGGCTTGGATTGGGGTGGGTCCTCAGCTAACGACCGGTGGAATTTGTTTAACAATGGCAACAGGGAATGCCAGGATTGCCGTTGCCATTGCAATGTAGTCATGTGACATCTCGCTTTATGACCACATTGCTTAGCAATGGAAATTCTGGTCCCAATTGCGGTCATAAGTCAAGGAGTACCTGTACTATCACAAAAACCAAGATTCAGAAATTGTAGATAGTAGCTCATACTACGTCTGTGAGAAGCTGAAGTAATTTTAAGAGTCTGTTGACAGGAGCACATGTGAAGCACTGTTCCCTTGATGAATGATTGTGCCCAACAAATGAAAGCCTGCCTCTTTGAAACAATTAAAAACTGGGTAAGATTTATTTCTTCCTAAAAAATTGCAGATACCATCTTTATTTTGCTTTTGTTATCTCCCTAGTCTTTTTAAAAACTGGCCAAGATCTGCCATCTTTTTATCACAAGACTATTGGCCTGTGATGCTGAAATCTGCTCAGGAGCAGATGTATCTGCATCAAACAACTGAAAACCAAAAAGACTAAACATTTCAGATACATGTTTTCTTCCTGATAACAAATCCGTGAAGATAAGAATTTTAGTCTCAAATCTTCCAAGAAACTGAAAAACAATGCATAAGAAAACAGAAAGTTTAATTATAAATATATACATTTCCTGACTAAGCAATCAAAATGACATTGCTGGACCTTTTTCCTACCTGCTCCCTCATGCTATTTTCATTCAGATTCTGTCCAAAAATATTCTTCTTGAATTTTATTCAGGGTGTTCTTTAAAAAAAAAAAATGTGCATGCATGCAGAAAGAGACATATGAACATAACTAATGAGAGACTAGATATTCTGATTGCCTAGATTTCTACTGAAAAGGGAAATGCATAAGAAAATACCATTAATCTTTTCTATGAAATATTTCCCAACACAATAAAGGTTGTCCTCAACTTATGACCATTCATTTAGCAACCATTTGATGTTACCACAGCACTGAAAAAAGTGACTTCCGACCGGTCCTTGCACTGATGACCATTGCAGCATCCTCGTGGTCACATGATCACAATTCAGGGGCTTGGCAACTATCATGCATTTATGACAGTTGCAGCATCCTGCAGTCACTTGATCACCATTTGTGACCTTCCCAGCTGGCTTCCAACAAGGAAAGTCAATGGGGAAGCCAGCAGGGAAAGTTGCAAGTCGTGGTTATGTGATGTGGCAAAAAAGGCCGTAAAATTGGGTGCGGTTACATGATGCCTAACTTAATGACCATACCACTTAACAACAAATTTTCAATCCCTATTGTGGTCTTAAGTTGAAGATTACCTGTACTGTTTTATCGTAAGAAAGTACCACCTGTCAGGTTCAGCCCAAAGAACTCCACGAGACAGTACAGGTCTAGTTCGATAGCTTTTATTAGCTTCCAACCACAGACA